GGACATAGAAGGAGAACTTCTTGTCAGGATGGAGATTTAAAGTAAGATCATGGCTTTTCCCTTAGAGTCTGTTTTCAACAGTGCAAGAAAACAGAAAGACAAATCATTTGCAAAGCTAAAAAAGTGGCTTCTACAGCTTTTGGTAGGGAGTATTTGTTTTACTACCCTTAGACTGGGAGAACAGGAAAGAGAGACCCTGAAAAACTACAAGCTACTGTAGAACACATCCTACCCAGCCCTTTCCAGATCCCCAGTCACAGCTCACTTGTTTAACTATTATGTTCTCAATAAACAAATGCCCATGACAGAGCAATTACCACTACACAAGCATTTTGTATAAATATTATATTAAACTAATACTAAATGACTGTAAAATGAATAGTTTTATGTAGTGATACACTGTGTACCCTAATAAACTTGCCTGGGGATCAGAGGACAGAACCAGACACTAGATTAGACATAGAGGTCAGGCAGTGGTGGCACACACCCTTAATCCTATCACTTGGAAGGCAGAGATCTGTCTGGATCTCTGTGAGTTGAAGGCCACATGAAACAGAGCCAGGCAGTAGTGGTACACGCCTTTAATCCCAGCACTGGGAAGCACACACATCCTAGGAAGTGATGTCTGGACAGAGAAAGGTATATAAGGTGTGAGGAAACATAAACTCACTTTCTTTAGGCTGAGGATTTTGTAGAAGTAAGAACTAGTGGCTGGCTGTTCTTCTCTGATCTTTCAGCTTTCACCTCGATATCTGGCTCTGGGTTTTTTTTTTTTTTTTTGTTAAAAGACCATCTAAGATTCGAACAACTTCAAATACTGAATGAAAACAATAAACTAGGGGCTGGAGATACCGCTCAGCAGTTAAGAGCACTTGTTGCTCTTGCAGAGGACCTGGCTTTGGTTCCTAGAACCCACATGGTAGCTCACAACTATCAGTAATTCTAGTTCCAGAAAATCCAATGTTCTAGTTTGTGTTCTGTGGGCATCAAGCATACGTATGAAACAAACACATTCATGAAGGCAAAACACTCATACACGTAAAATAAGTAAATAAATAATAAAATTAGTTTAAAAAAATATAAATTACTTTCCCAGGTAGCATACTGTGCTGAGTACATTTACACACAGACACACACAGACACACAGACACACAGACACACACACACACACACACACACACACACACACACACTACAGCAGTTATTTTAAAAAGGAAGTCTGGAGGCAATATGTTTACAGAGTTAGAACTAGAGATTTCAGATTCAGATTTTGTCTTTCAGAGGAAGCTGTGGTGATCCTTAATGCTGTCAAGGTGACAGCATCTAGAATCAACGAGGAGACAAGCCTCTGGGTACATTTGTGAAGAAGTCTCCAGATCAGGTTACCTGGGGTGGAGGGGCCCACCCTAACTGTGGGTGGCACCATTACATGCACTGAAGACAAAGAGAAGGTGAGCTGAGGCCTAGCATCTACCTGTCTGTTTCCTGACTGCAGATGCAGTGTGACCAGTGCCTCAGACATGCCACAGGACTCTTCTTCCTCTCTCTAGATAGACTGACCTACCCTCAGACTGTGAGCCAGACTAAACTTGTCCTGAGGTTGCCTTTGTCAGGTATGTTGCCATAGCAAGAAAATTCACTCTCAAACACCTCCCAGTGAATGGCAGGCCAGTCTACTTCATTCACACACAGCTGCATTCATTCCCTCAACACTTCCTCCAGGCACTAATCCAAATGATGATGGCCTATTAGCAAAAAAGACAGACAAAACCCTACTCAGTCTAGTAGTTGAGCTAGAGCATTCTCTTGCAGCCAAACTTTGTAACTTCAACCTAAGTCTCTTTGTATTTCCCCCGACTAACACAAGGCAGGAAGAGAACAAAGTAAGCACTACCTCACCACCCTAAGTGAAATGACTATTCTCAAGTCCTGCTTCCACCACCAGCCTCTCTCCTCCAATAACAGTCAGGACATGCCTTACAGAGTTATCTCAATATCCTCGTCCATTTTTAATTTGAACTTGAAGCAGAATTTTGAGTTAAAATGACCTTCTATCTACAGAAACTTGGGAATACCTATTTCTAAGAAATAGGCTGACCCTAAGAAATGATCTGGTATGATGAAGGAGCTAAAAAAAAAAATATGAGAGTAACAATGAAGCACTTTAAGAATATTAGTAGCTAAACTAATTAGTTTGCACAACTGAGAGAGACAGAGACAGTCAGACACAGGTTTAAGCCACGTGTGGTGGTGAATGCTCCAGCACTCAGGAAGTTTGCTGGGGGGGGGGGGGCAATACTAAATAAAATTAAAAAAAAAAAAAACTAAACTAAAAAGTAGTGGCTAGCTGGGCAGGGCCTCACTATGAAGCCCCAGTGGTCTATCACTAATATATACCCTCCCCTATTTCTCAGTATTAAAAAAAAAATTAAACACTTTGGTGAATTTAACATGGGAATCATAAAAAGAAAATAAAAAATTAGATAAAGATCACTTAAGAAGTTTAAGTAACACATTTCACACAACTAGGAAAATAAAAGTAAAGTCAGGAGGCAACAAAGTCAAGGAGCAATGAGAAGCCCCTGTTCACATTCACCCAACTTAGAAGAATGAACTATAAAACTGCAAATAGTGTCTGATACACTGAGGTAAGAGGTATTTGGGTAATGACTAAAGTATTCCTGTACATTGTTGTAAACATGTAAATTGCAACAATTATGCATCAGTTATCAAAATGTAAAATAATCCAGCAAATTTATTTTTAGCAATTTCTATTGTGGAATAATCTTTTTGTACATTATGAAGATTTGTCACTTGGATTGGTTTAATAAAAAGCTGAATGGCCAACAGCTAGACAGGATTTGGGGGGCAGAGAGGACAAGGAAAAAAGGGCGGAGACAAGGAGAAGCCAGCCAGATATGGAATGAGTTGGACACACAAACTGGGATAGAGGTGAAAGTAACATGAAAGAACATAGATTAATAGAAATATGGGTTAATTTAAGTTATAAAAGCTAGTTAGAAACAAGCCTAAGCTATCGGCCGAGCTTTCATAATTAATAAGAAGTCTCTGTATGGTTATTTGGGAGCTGGCTGGTAGGACAAAGAAAGACTCTCACAAATTTAACTTCCAGATAAACCTATTCATACATTCAGCAACATTAATGAGGAAAGCAGCATAGTTTATAATCCTATAAAATTAAAACAATCTAAATACACATCACTACTACACAAGTTATAGTGACTTTGTTCTAAGAAGGGGAAGCAGTTCACATTCCTACAACAGAACATGAAGTTACAGGGCAGTGACACAGAACAGAGAACTATCAACACACAGCTAAATTACGTAGACCTCACATTGAGCATGATGATGCACAACTGTGATCCCCATGCTCTTTTGAGCCAAGGCGGAGGATACCAAATTTAGGGCCAGTCTCAGCTACACAGTAAGTTTCAGACCAGCCTAGGCTACAGAATAAGACTTCATCTCAAAAACTGAACAAAAAATTAACTAGATTCTACTGTTTTCAGCATGGATGAATCTAAAAAGCATTATACAAGAAAAAAAATAGAACGATGTGCTTTTCACTTTAAAAGTAAATTCTTAAAATTCCTAAATATGTAAAATAATTCTATATACATTGTTTGTAGGTATATACATACCCACACACTAATAAACACCCAGAAGAATGCTAAATACCAATCACAGCATAGTGTTTACCTTCATACTGTGCATGACACCAAATTAAATAAGTATTTTAAAATAAAATAAACTCGGTACTATATTCTAACTATCTAACAGCTTTACACCTTAAATTTCATCTTATGAAAACGGTCTTAGTTATCCTCATCCCGGAGTATGATATGAAAAAAATATTTTTGTTTTCTCTCCTAAGTAACAGTCACTGTAGAAAACATTTTAAATTCTGATCAGCAAAGTAAGAAATCTGTACCTCCCACCTGGAGTTCTCAACTGTTGATATTTGGGATGTTTCCTATCACATTTCACTTTAGCGTATCTATGCGCTTCCTAACAATTTGCCAGTGCGGTGCTGCAGTGGTCTGAATGAGAACTGTCTCCCATAAGCTAAGATGTTGAAGAATTAATACCTAGTTGGTGGTACTGTTTGGGGGAAGTTACGGCATCTGCAGGGGGTGGAGCCTTGTTGGAGGAAGCAGTCCCTGAAGGCAGGCTTTGAGAGGCCATAACACCTCAACCCATTTCCAGCTTGCTCTCTCTCGGTTTCCTATCTGACAAAAACATTATCAGTCAGCTTCC